AGGAAGGGATGATGTGCATTGAAATCCCCTCCTATGAGTGTGGCGTGGTCAGCGGCCGAAGCAAATAATTGAGTAACCTCCAGTGAGCCCCTTGGGTTCTTGTAGATGTTGTGAACAGTTAATTCCCGTTCTTGGAGGGTTACTTTGACGGCCTGTGTCTCGATGTTTTCCCCACATGGAAATTGCTGCGTGACATCGGCGGAGAGTATGCTTGACTTGACCAAGATCATACATCCTCTTGTTGGCGCCTTGGTGAAATGCCTCCTGTATGTCTTGTAACCGCTGAATTTGAAACAGTGGTGTTCTTGTAGAAGTGTTTCTTGTAGGAGTATGATGTCAAGCTTGTCCTTGGCTGCTGCTTCTTGTAGGAGGTGTTTCTTGTTTTTGATGCCCTGAGCATTCCATGTTAGGATGTTCAGGGTGCTGATGTTTTCCACCACTGTTTCATTGGGGACTTCTGGTGGTCCTTGATGGAGATGTCCAAGCTCGATTCCAACTGGATCAGGTTCATATCTTCGTGTTCAGTGGTTTTTGCCTTCTGGGCCGTGGTTCGGTTCAGGGGAGTTGAAACGTCCAGTTTCTTTCTGGGAGCTGTCGGTATCTTGGGTTCTCTGGTGGCCTTCTTCGGTGTAGAGTGTACCTCGGCTGTCACTCGTGTGAGGACCGGCGTGGCTTCCTCCACTGAGTTGGCTGGAGCTGTGGCGACTTGCCCGAGGACGCTCCCCATGAGTATTTGGAGCTGTGTGGGTTGGATCTTGTGGCCCAGTAGTCCGGCTAGGCCCTCCGCGAAGGATGTCAGTACCTTGGCTAGGTCTGATACGTGTATCATTCCTTCTGGTGCCTTGGTGTGTGCTTCTTTTGTCTTTCTCGTGGTTGTCGTTGTCTGCTGCTTGGGTGGCTGAGGTGTGGCCATAGTGAGGCCAGGAAACTGGGCTGCACTTTGGGTGTTGACTGGCTGAGGAGGTTGTCTTTGTTGTTTTGGCCTTTGGGTTCCCCACACGAAGGTACTTGGTGGGGCTGGTGTGTAGGCGGTGGGGGCCGGTCTTGCTGCTGGTCGGTTTGCCTGGACCCTCTTTGTTCTCTCGGAGCATCCAGGATTCCAGGCGTGGTGTTTGCCCCCGCAGTTGGCACACTTGGGGGCAATTTTTTCCCCATTTTTCAACTTGGTGAGGCAGGAGTGTGTGCCGTGCTTCTGTGCGCAGACTGCGCAGATTTCCTTGTACGTGCACCTTGTCTGATGGTGCCCGTATTTCTGGCATCTGAAGCACCGCAGGGGCTCTGGGACGAAGGGCCTCACTTCGTAGATCCCCCAGGTTTTGAGGTCTATGGTGCTGGGGGTGAGCCGTAGTGCGTTATGAGCACTTGTTTCGTGGTGGCCGTCTTGTCGGACAGGGGAGAGCATCTCTCGGCTTTTAAGATCTTCGGGTGGTTCTCCAGGGGTTCGAGAGGTAGTTCCTTTGGGTATCGGAGGACTACCGACTTCATCAGTTTCTGGGCGGGGTCCAGCTTTGTTGACGCAACGGTGGTGGTGTTTTGCAGGTAAGTGTCGAGGGTGGTGGCAGAGTCCTTGTCTTTGGGGTGAATAATCATCTCCCCCTTTAGGTTGGGCTGCACTGAGAACTTGGCCAGTGGGTTTTGCTTTTCCATCTCTGTGACGGCGGCATATGTTGTTTTTGCGTCCGTTTTCGTGATTCGGAATTTTGGCAGTGTCGTTGGAGGTGAGCTGGTGGTGGTGATGGGTGCCTTTTGGGCTGCTTGACGGCATTCGTTTCCCGAAAAGGCACGTCGGCGTTTCTTGTTTTCTACCTTCGTCCAGTTGTCCTCAGTGGCGGTAGCAGTGGTGGTGGAGTTGTTGGAGGTGGTGGCAGTGTTCCTATTTTTCAGGGGTTCGTTGAAGGCGCGTAACTGGTCTGCTTTCTCTGTGCGAAGCCTGTCGTAGTTCGGGTCGTCAGGTTGGCGGTTCAGGCGGGGGTCGCGGTTAGGAGGGCGTACGCGCTCCATAACCGGGTTTTTTTGTTTTTTTTGTTTTTGTTTTTGTTTTTTAGATCCTACCTATTCCGGTTGAGTAAATAGCAGAGGAATTACAGCACTCCCCACTGGCTGGTGGTCGTAGAGTGGTTCCTGAGCTTCTCTCCCGGAGCCCCGTTGGGGAAGCCTATTTCCTAGTGTATGTGACTGCTCACTTATAGACGTGAGCTAAGTGTGCCTATTTGGGAAGGATAAGGATGGCTACCCTCTTTCCAGGTGGACCCGCACGATCACGGTTTTCCTGGAAAGACTCGGCTGGGGTGGGTTTTGCTCCGACCCCCTTTCGTGTTCACAATCTCCTGGGAGGGAGGTGAACAGTTACAGGGGGGACCGCAGGACGAATACACTTTTGAGGGTGCAGGTCCCTAGGCCAGAGCGAAAAAGGAAAAATAGTAGTAGAAGGAAAAGAGCTCAAACCACGCCGGGAATATCGCGCTATAACTGCTCTCCAGCTGGAGTGTGGGTCACTCACACCACCAGTGGGGAGGGCAAGCTAATGCTCGATAAACCGAGAACGCTCGTGAGTTGTTGTGGACGATGACGGTCGTGGGTGTTCCGGTCCGGGAAGATGGCCAACAATGGTACAAGGGAGAGGGCGGTCTTCACAGTTCCGGGTCCAGCAGGAGGTCTTGTTGAGAGGTCTTCTTGGTTCAGGAGCGATGTGAGTAGTGTCCTCCCTGGGCAGGCGTGGCCATATTTATACAATTTACCAGGATCAGGATTTGGGGTGCGCGTAGCGAGAGGACCAATCACAGCGGCTCAAGCGTAAGGTGTGAAACGCTCTGATCCTGAACTGGAGGTTGATGGTCGAGACTAGGTCGGCGATCGTACCCCTACGTCCTCTGCATAGACCTAGTCTCTCGGCGTAGCTGGCTGTACGCATCACATTCACTCTCTAACCCTCTCTCACCATGAACGGTTACGAGTTTGATAACGTGGCGCGGATACGTCCGGATACGCCGACCTGCCCCAAGAAACTAAACCTCCTAGTTCTCCAGAAGTTTTTTTAAGCTAATGGGATCGTGGGGGTCACCAAGGTGGAACGTCTAAAGCTCCATGGTGACATCAAGATCACCTTCGTCGAGAAGGGCATGCCCGCACAGCTCGCGGAGATCCCAGACATCAACGGCATTCCTTTTAAAATGATTGCCTATATTTGGGACAACTTGAAGCTGGGTGTAATCTCCCACGCCGAAATTGCCCACATGGACAAAGCAGAGCTGAGTGAGCTCCTCAAGGGGCAGCAGCTCCAAGTTGTGAAGAAGCTGTCCGACACCACTGCCCTCATCGGACACCACTCCACCCTACCCAAGGAAGCTCAACTGGCGTGGGTAACTGTGCCAGTCAAGCCCTACTGCAGACCGAAACGGTGTTACAAATGCCAGCACTATGGACACACTGTAAACAAGTGTGAGGCGCAGGAGGACACCTGCTCCATGTGTGGCAGCCCTGGACACCGCTACACGGTCTGCCCCAACAAAGAGAAAAAATGCGCTGCTTGTGGTGGCCCACACTCCTCCGCCGACCGGACCTGCCCCAAATGGAAGGAGGAATGCAGGGTAGCCAAGGCTCGTCTTGAGAAAAAACTGAGCTACAAAGAGGCCCTCCTTGCTGTACGCTCCCAAGAAAAGAAAAAACCAGCAGAAAAGAAAAACCAAGAAAAGAAAACTCAAGAGAAGACGCCCACCACACAGAACCAAGAACACCACGTGGCCCGTGGAGCTGAAGCCCACGTGGTCAACCTCACCGTCTCTGACTTCTTCCACACCTATGAGGACTTAATACACGAGGAAGACGAACAACAAGACCCAAACACAAACGAATGGACACTTCAAGAGAGCAAGAAGAGGAGGAGAGTGAGAAGAAAATCGACATCAAGCTAAGAAGACCAAGACATCTCCTCCACACAAGAAACCAAAAACACAATCAAGCCGACCAAGCACTGAACATCCATTGCCCAACCCAACACGCACCTGACGCTTGACCTGACGCTAGCCTGGCTGTGTCTTGTCGCCTCCCTGCCGCGTCCAGGCGAGTTGCTGCTGCTGCCTCCATCTTATAATCCCTCACGCAAGCGGTGTTTAGCCACTGCATCTGTTCTCTCCTCCTAAAATTCACTTCAATCCTCCCTTTATTCTTCCCCTGAACCTCCTTCCCCCCTGTCACTAGCATTTTCGATCGATCGATCGGCTGTACAGAACCTATGACCCTTCAGGCTTTTACGCCCTTAATGTACGAGTCATAAAGGCAAGTATGAACTTTTCATACTTCCCTGTTGGGCGCTGTAAACGCTTCTGCGCTTCACCTTGCACAGGATGTAAGGGGGTGCCCAATAAACTAGCCCCCTCGGGGGCAAATCTGAGTCTGAACACCTTTAGAGGCAACTGGATTACATGGACAGAGAGAGGCTTAAATATACAGGGTGACCTTATTAAACATGAGGTCAGGTCATAATGATGTCATCCACTAATCCCCAATACCAACACACACGTAGAGGAGCTTAAGAGAAGGGGGCGACGTGAGTAGTCAGGTCAGGTCACAAATAAGGGACCCGTGTGATTTTATGAAGATTTATCTTATCCACGTTTTCATTGTGGATCTACATGAAATATATATATATATATATATATATATATATATATATATATATATATATATATATATATATATATATATCATGTAGATCCATAATGAAAACGTGGACAGGATAAATTTTGATAAAATCACACAGAAAAAAGGGAAACATTTTCCCCGTGTGATTTTATCAAGATTTATCTTATCCACGTTTTTCATTGTGGATTTACATGAAATATATATATATATATATATATATATATATATATATATATATATATATATATATATATATATATATATATATATATATATTGCGGGATGGGAAGTATACAGTGCTGTATAATATTGTATTTACTGAATTTTTAGGCTTGGCAACGTGTTGACCGTCGTCAGAACTGTGGCTTCAGACTTCAGAGATTCAGATTCGGTGACCGCGCGTTACAATGAATTTATTATTACTAGTATTCGACAGTAGTTTCGCTAATCTTTCTTTTATCGCTGCGTAAAATTTAAGTCTTTAATTCATATAAGTTTCATCTTTGATGGTGAGGTAAATTGTGTAACAATAAATCAACATTTAAGAAGGAGCAACGATTAATAGTAGTGAACCCACAGCAAGGTAAACAGGTATTGATTTGTTTATATTGATGTGTTTTCGTTTTTATAGATAATTAATGAGTAAGCTCATAAAAGTTCACATTGGCTCATCATTTTTAGAGACAGTTTAGGTATACAAACTGTCACTGGATATACAGTGTAAGGATGGTGAACATATTCCGTACAAGTGCAGTATATGAACAATACTAGTACAGGCTGAGGACAGTATGTGGGTCAGTAATAGCTTACAATAGGGTTTTGTTAGAAGGAGCAACTCTACGAAAAAATTATATTGAACAAAACTTGTGTCTTACCTCTCGAATATCAGGGAAAGTTTGGAGGAATTACAACTTTCTTACTTTTGTTTTTCCTTTTCTTTTTTCGTCTTGAACATAAGCCTGTGTAATAAGCTGATCCACACTGTAGAGGCACATGCAACCCACCAGGTCCCATGGGTTATAAGGGCAATAAAGTGACTGTTGGGTGTGCTAATGACGAGGCAAAGATGAATATGATAGTATTACTTTTTACTTTTAAACTCTTCGCCATTGATTGACTCGTTAATCTTTTAATTGAGACTGGTGAATGTGGTGCATCATTATAGAATATGTATATTGAATAAAAAGCTACTCTTGCTGCAGCTGCATCAACTACGCAATGTTCAATTCTGATTTTGAATTGTTTGTTACTATTAATGAAAGTACAGGTACTGTAATATAGTTACATAAGTTGTTGCACATGTTTATAGCTGGACTAATAATGCTGTTACTTTTGAAATCTTGATATAATTTAACTGGTTCACTATCGCATTTGGCAAATATGATTTTTTCTTCCATATCAAAGATAATTGTCACTCTTGTTTTGAACAATTTGTAGATGGGCTTTAGACTTTGTGTTAAAGCAGAATACCACATTGAACAGGAATTATCTTTAGTGATTATAATGACGTGTGAGAACAAAACATAGGGCCCGATCAGTGGCGAAGAGGATAAAAGTAAAAGTAAATTGGTTGGCTGCTGACCAATTCCCATGTGAATTATCATCCGTTTTTGTAATTTAACTTAGAAAGTGGAATGGCAATTTTTTTCGAAAAATTACCACTAAATGGGAATCATCCAAGTGGGATGACATCAACTGGCCTTCCTATGAAGTTGAGTGCTTTGCTGTCCCCCTTTTGTTCCTTAGGAGATCATTGTTTATGGTCCAGTGTTAATACAGGAGGAAACTGAGTACAGTACCTATAGAAAACCTCTAATGTTTGGTAGGGTAACATGGAATACCCTAACTGGGTCCGACTATGTACCCAAATGTACCCAAATATAGCCGGAATGAAGTCAAATAATGGTCCTACATGAATAAATCGGACTGCTAATCACTTCTCGACTAGTATTTGGTGTCAGAAAGTCACAAAAAATTGGAAAACTTACTTTAATCTGAGTTAATAGATCGCGTGCATGTACCGACGGAGCGAGGAATTACCCAAATGTACCCAAATGTAGCCGCAATGAAGTCAAATGATGGTCGTACAAGCGTAATTCGGGCTGTGAATCACTTCTCGATTATTATTTGGTGTCATAAAGTAAAAAAAAAATTGGTAAACTTAATTTAATCTGAGTTGTGTTAGGTTAGGTTAGATTAGGTTAGGTTAGGTACATGCACTTGATCTATTAACTCAGATTATATTAAGTTTACCAATTTTTTGTGACTCTGACACCAAATACTAGTCGAGAAGTGATTGGCAGTCCGATTTATTCATCTAGGATCATTATTTGACTTCATTACGACTACATTTGGGTAATTCCTCGCTCCGTCGGTACATGCACGCGATCTATTAACTCAGATTAAAGTAAGTTTTCCAATTTTTTGTGACTGTGACACCATATACTAGTCGAGAAGTGATTGGTAGTCCGATTTATTCATCTAGGACCATTATTTGACTTCATTCCGGCTATATTTGGCTACATTTGGGTAATTAGTCTGACCCGCCTGTTTGATATCACTACAGAATTACTGCACCTAAATGTGGAACTCAAAGAACTCTAATCCTCAAGGTGCTTGAATAAGTCCTCAGAACTTATGTGATAGGCATGGTTTTAATAGACCTAAGTGAAAAGTGCATTCTTATTGTTATCTAAATAATGTAGATTGCTGACACACTTTGAACATTGAGTCATTATGAGCCAGGAAAGATTGCTACAGTACTTCTGTCACATGATTGCCTTTACTTGTATGATGTGTAATTGTGGGTTTGATGAATGGAATGCTTACCTTTATTGGCTGGTTTTTCATGTGAGAGTGCGTGCCTATACAGTACTGTACAGGTGCGTATTGGCTAACTTCACTGAGGGTGTTTGTGCTTTCCAATCCTGAAACTTTTATAGCACTCTCCCCCCTGTTGTTTAGCTGACTTTAGCCATGTGAGGAATGGCTTTAGAGCAAAAGACAGAAATGGAGGATTGATCTTGAAATTTCTCTCTTCACCTTTGGGATAGTGACTACCCATAGACAGTTGTAACTGAGAGTGGCAGTACCTGTACTGTGTTCAGCTTAGCCCAGATTCATAGTTGGCAAGGCAGATGTTCCTGTGCTTTAAGTGCTGGTTGGGTAGCTACAGCTCCAGTGAGTCTCTTAGCCTTTGGGTTTCTGCAATAATGAGCCTCCTTCATTTGAGGCATGCGGTGCAATGGGAAAAGAGAGGTTAAATGGTGTATATTATTGGGTTAATAGTATAAATGTGGAATAATAATGCACAGGACAGATCCCAAGTGATAAAAGGCCCTTATGACCCATAAATCTCTACAGTATTATGAGAGCCACATGATATTACAGTACTGTACAGTACAGGGAGTCCCTGGTGTAAGGGGGAAACAGAACGTTTTTATATTTCTTTTTTATTTCTTTATGTTTAATATTTATGTGTAAGAGAAGATTTCTTTCTTTTATATTTATACAGTGGTCCTTTGATTAACGAACACAATTGATTCCACAGAGTCGTTCGTTAACCAAAAATTTCGTTAACCGAATCTATTATTTCAATGGGATATTGGGTAATTGGTTCCAACTCACAGAAAAAGTACATACAAAGTACAGTACTCCCTCTTTATCGACGGATTTTTTATCGACGGTTTCGATTATCGACGGATTATTTAGACGGATTTTTATTTTGGCTTTATTTGAACTCTGCGGGCCTTGTTTGTACTTTCGCCGCTAGGCGGCACTAGTGGCGTGACTAGCGTCTACCCGCGGCCCGCCTTCCCTGAACACAGACATCAGCCAAGCCGCGTGGGCAACAGTCTTTGATTTTCAACTTTTGCTGGTGGTTCATCACATCAACTTATATCACCATGCCTCCCAAACGACCTGCTGCTCCCTCTGGATCTACACCTAAGAGGGCAAGACGAGTGCTGACGCTGAATGAGAAGAATGAAGTGCTGAAACAACTCGACAGCGGTATGAGCTATGCAGCTGTTGGCCGCCACTTTGGGCTCAACGAATCCAGTGTGCGTGGAATTAAACGACGTGCAAAGGATCTGAAGCACGCTTTAGCTTCAAGTGCACCAGTGACATCAAAAGTGACAAGCCATGTGCGTGATGATGCCCTCATTAAAATGGAAAAAGCACTGAACATTTGGATAGAGGACCTAAACCGCCGCCGCATACCACTTGACTCGAAATTTATTAGGCAGAAAGCTAAGGAACTTTATGATAAGTTTTCTAAAGGTGATGATCATGGTGTTGGTGATGGTGATGATCAGGGTGATGGTGATAATCAGGGTGATGGTGATAATTTGAAAAAATTTGCAGCTAGCAAAGGATGGTTCGAGAAATTCAGACATCGTTATGGGCTGCATAATATAAAAGTGACTGGCGAAGCAGCATCAGCAGACACTGTGGCAGGGGAAGCATACCCTGCAGAGTTTGCTAACCACATAGCACAAAAGGGTTATAGGCCGGAACAAGTTTTTAATGCTGATGAGACAGGCCTATGGTGGAAGAAGATGCCACGCCGAACCTACATCTCTAAAGAGGAAAAAAGTGGCCCTGGATTTAAAGTTGCGAAGGACCGAGTGACAGTGATGCTATGTGGGAATGCGGCAGGGCATATGATTAAGCCCATGTTGTTATACACTGCCGCACGACCTCGGGCTCTCAAAAATAAAAACATGAACTTGCTACCAGTTTTCTACAGGAACAACAAGAAAGCGTGGATGACATCTGATTTGTGCGTGGATTGGCTGAAAAACTGCTTTGCTAGAGAGGTGAAAGATTATCTGGATGAACTTGGCATGGAGTTCAAAGTGGTATTATATCTAGATAATTGCCCTGGCCACTCTGAAGAACTCAAGACTGCCCACCCCAACATTGAGGTGGTTTTCCTGCCAAAAAACACCACCTCCATCATCCAGCCAATGGACCAGGGAGTCATTGTCATGTTTAAGGCTAAATATGCAGAGAAGACTTTCAGCATGATTCGTGAGTGCCTTGATAAGGATGCTGATGTGACACCCAGAGAAATGTGGAAGAAATTTGATATTGCACAGTGCATAAACTTCATCGCTGAAAGCCACAATGAACTGTCGCAGAACTGTGTCCGATCATGTTGGAAAAAATTGTGGCCTGAAATTGTCCCAACATTCACAGGGTTCCCAACAGCCGAGCCTCAGTTACGCAACATAATAACTATGGCAAATGAAGTTGGAGGTGAAGGGTTCTCTGACTTAACAGCGGCAGAGGTGCAAGAAGAGTTATTGGGAAATGTTGGGGATCCATTTACAAGTGATGAACTAGAACAATTAGTGGAGCTGCAGGATGAAACAGAAGATGAAGTGAGTGATGATGAAAATAAGAACTTAACTTTAGATAATCTTGGTGAAGTAATAAGAATGAGTAAGGCCCTCTCTGCTCGTCTCTATGACATTGATCCCTCCCTTGATAGGTCCCTTAAAGCAAAGAGAGCTATTGAAAATGTTATGTTGCCATATATAGAACTGCAGAGGGAAATGAGAAGCAAGAAAGCACAGACCACCATC